TCTCTCTGTGCTGTCTCGTCTCTCTGTGCCTGTCTCATTTGTAGTCCTGTGTTCATCGCTCTGTTTTTGTCCCTGTGTCATGTCTGCCATGTCTCTGTGTCTGTTTGTCCCCACTGCTGCTCCAGCAGCATTAAAACACACGTTTACAGTGTGTGTAAAACAATAGTTTGGACATATCAGGATGTTTCACTCTTCACATCAGGGTCACAAAGGTGGAACATGTTTCATCACTCATGTATCAAAGGCTCAGACCTTTATCCATCTTTCATGTACAGAAACTTTTAATAAACATGGGAAACAACACAAACTGAGTGCCCCTCCCATTTTATTCCCCAGCTGACTGCATACTTGGGTACGAGGGACTTTTTATAATTCATTACGGTAATTTATTTTAAACAACTTTCCAAATAAACACACTTAAAATGTTAGACTGCAAAGACTCATCGGTGCTGCTGCTGAAGTTGGTACACTGTTGTTTTGTTTTTCACCTTCTCATGTTGAGAGTCCAGTATGCATCATGGTCTGTTTGCCACGGGTTGCTGGGTAGACAGGAAGCCAGGAGCGGGTCATGATTTTTGTAGGTTGTGATGTATTTGACCAGCCTGCAGAGACAGAACTGTTATTAGCTTCATTTATTTTCTAGTTGAGGATGTCAAAACCAGGCAGCACAGCCGCGACAAAAGGAGATGCATATATATGTTCATTTAAATATACTGTATTTTAACTAATGATGTGACTGAAATACTCCTTCTGGTTTCTGTCTTTGTTTCTCCTCATTTCACTCAAAATATTACACAAAGTTACCTACAAGTATTGTTTTTATTAGGAGAAGTAATTGTTATAAGTGTTAGATGCAGTATGGCAAAGCTGCAGTTTTGACATTTGAACTCGTGTTTCTCTGCAAAGTGCGCTACATGGGATCGACCTGAATTTCCCAGTTGTATCTTGGACTTTTGCAACTGTTCCTTCTAATGATTTTTCAAATGTCTCATAGTGGTGTCGAGTCTCCGTGCATCCATGTAGTGTCCACAGCTGATCTTAGTGAGGGTCTAAGGGGCAGCAGTCCAGGCAGAAGAGCTCAGACCTCTCTCATGGGGGGTCATATGATGGTTGGGGTTTCTCTGTCGTATTATTGTAGGGTTACATTACAACATAAAGCACCCTGAGGAGACTGAATCTCCTCTGTTTCTGCAGGAGGGCACACAGAGAAAGTTGGAAGTTGGAAACCCTTCACCTAGGAGGCACCTGGGTGGCGTTCCAAACAGATGCCTCAACTGACTCCTTTAACAACCCTGGACCCCTGCTGTACTGTATGACCAAGCTTGTCTCCACATCTCTGATGGAGAGCCCAGGAACTCTCTGCAGGAAGTGCATTTCCAGCACTTGTATGTAGTGCTGGGCAATAAAATGATGACAGTGCACTGTTTTATGTTTGTACTTTAACATATTTGTACTGTCAAACACACCATACACTGTTAATTTGAGTTTACTGTATTTTTAATACCTGTAAACCAATAATGTGCCATAATTTTTAGGGGAAATGATGTATTTAATTTCTGTTAGTTGTTAATAATAAATCTTTGAACCTGTTCTTTCAATTAGCATCAAAGCAGATGCCTGCTTAGAATATTGATATGAAACTATATCTGATATGATCTCATTCTGTTACTGCCTAGAGCCTTAAACTAGGGTAAACTAGATAAACAAGGTCTCACTATGGTACAGGGACCCCAACACCCTTTAATAATGGGCCTGATAACCCATGCTCCCAACACACCTCTTACAGAAAAGGGGCCACAGTCAGTCACATCACAAAACAGTTGTAGACTGGTTGGACAAACCTCATACACCATATCCTAAATATCCTCAAAAGGACAAAGATCTGTTCCACTGGTCCACAACCAGGACATAAGCCATGTTGTTCCTCCTGATCCTGAGGTTAAACTAAAGGGTGAGATCTGCTCTCCAGTATCCTGGCCGCACACCTTCCAAACGAAGTATAAGCTGGAAGACACCTCCGGCACTACTTCTTAAAAAGCACCAACTACCACCACAGTTCCCAATCCAAAGGCCACGCCCCGTCTGTGTGTGTGTGTGTGTGTGTGTGTGTGTGTGTGTGTGTGTGTGTGTGTGTGTGTGTGTGTGTGTGTATGAGAAAGAGAGAAAGGCCCAGGAGACCCAGGCCATCCATAGCAACCGAAGAGAAGTCCCAAGGCCACATATTCTAATGACAACTGCATGCCCACCTAAGCAGAAGGAGAAAGCCCCAGATGGAGCCCTCATGTCCAAAGGGCAAGAGCCCCAGAGAACTAGAGGCAGGAGGCAGCTGATACTGCCAGCAAGCTAAGAACAGGGCCCTATGTCGCTAAAAACTGCTTGGTACCTGGAAGCCTTCTTGGCCACTGGGACAAAACCCAATGTGTATCCAGTGTTGGGAAGGTTACTTTTAAAATGTATTCCACTACAGATTCCATTACGTTACTCAATGACAGTAACGTATTCTGAATACTTTGGATTACTTAATATATTATCATGCTTTTTATGACTACATGAATGTACTATTGCTGTGTCATTTATTACTGAAGGTTACTCTCCACACCAACACCAGCTAGATGTTAAAATCTTAATATAAATGAGTAAAAGTAGGTGGACATTAGGTAAGGCTGCACTTTTTGCAGCGATCTTGTATAGAAAACTATTCCGCGCGTATATAAAACAGGTCAGCGGCTCCAAACTGTAGTAAAAGGACCTCTGGCTGATGCGTCAGGTTCGTGTCGGCTCGTAGCTGAAAAATAGCTTTACTTTGTTGTGTGGGTCAACTTTGCTAGCGAGAGACAGAGAGAGGAGTTGAAAGGCTGTTCCAACGAAGCTTATTGTTTCAGAGGAAAACAGGAACACAGTGTACAGTCGAGTCTTAATAGCTTACTTACAGCTGGGCCCTCTGTTTGGCTGCAGTGGTTATTATTATATCTACATGCTTCCAGCTCCCGTTTCTGCTCGGAGACAGCTCGTACTTTTCCTTTTTCTCCCTCCCTCGCTGACAGACACATCACGGGTAATCGCTTTATTTCAACAAAGAAACTGTATTCTGAATACCACCTTTTTAAACGGTAACTGTAATTCAATACAATTACTCATATTTTGTATTTTAAATACGTTCATGTATTCTATTACTCCCCATCACTGTGTGTAGACAGTGAACTGATGGGTCACACCTATCACTGAGGGTAGAATATCTCCTGATAATCATTCCTCAAGCTGTGTGTTGAGGTCAGTCCAACTATATATGGCCAGTATTGCATGTTCCAAGTACAAATTATAGTTATGTGATAACTGAATATCACATAGCATAGCATCAGACCCCTGCAGCTCCCTTTGGTGGATCTATAGAAGTGCAACCACCAACTGTTCCAGTGCGGACTGGGGCCTCTGCGCTAGTGATGTGCGGATCGATACTGAAATATCGATTCCTCTGATACCAGTCATTCATGTTCTAGAATCGATTCTCACATTAAAATATCGATATTTTAGTAATGTAGGGTAAATTTGTAGGTTATCATTAACAGGAACACAGTGGAAAGAAACTATAGCATTTGGATTGTCTACATCGGAAGGAACTACTTCCTCTTCTGCCTTTAATAGTCATGTGTGAAACACGGCTGTATGAATGTGTTGCAGCCTCTGGCGTGCGCACTCACAACAATGGCTGGGTGTAAATGGAGTAATGTGCGGACGTATTTTACCTCCACAAACAGCCAAGATGCGGTTTGTGATACATGTGGCAAGAAACTGAGGTGTTCTGGCAACACCATTAACCTCGTCAAACACCTCAGAGTAAATCATATCACAGAATATGATGAGCGTATGCTGAGGCGAACTGAAGACGAGGAGAGGGACAGGTGCTGCCAGGGCGAGACAGACGTCTCTCACGGAGAACGTGTTCAGATAGGCACAACTTCAGTTTTTTCATTTCAATATGATGAATTCTGCATTATTAAATGACAAGAACAAGTAATCTGAAGTCCTGTAATCATTATGAATCTATAATTTGAGATAAAATAAAAGATACAGTTAAAAAAAAGTTTTTGTACAAAGTATTGGTATCGGATCAGTATCGCCGATACCACCCTGAATTTTACTTGGTATCGGATCGGAAAGCAAATCAGTGGTATCGCACATCACTGCTCTGTGCGGCATTCCCAGCGCACCCTCATTGTGTGTTTAGGCATGCCACGTCTGTCCAACATCCTCCCCCGCCACCTGATCCAACTCACCACCAGGTGGTGATCAGTTGACAGCTCAGCCCCTCTCTGTACCCGAGTGTCCAGAACATATGGCCTTAGTTCTGGTGATACGATTACAAAATCGATCATTGACCTGCGGCCTAGATCATCCTGGTGCCACGTGCACTTATGGAAACTCTTATGTTCGAACATGGTGTTCGTTATGGCCAAACTGTGGTTTGCACAGAAGTCCAGCAACAAAGCACTACTCGCGTTCAGATCCGGGAGGCCATCCCTCCCAATCCCTCCAGGTCTCGCTGTCATTGCCCATGTGAGTATTGACATCTCCCAGTAGGAAAACAGAGACCCCAGGAGGAGCTCCGGAGCCCCACCCAGGAATTCCAAGAAGGCTGGGTACTCTAAACCACCACTCGGCGCATAAGTGCAGACGGTGGTCAGGACCCGTTCCTCGACCCGAAGGCAGACGGAACAAACCCTCTCATCCACTGGGAGAAACCTCAACATATAGGCAGCAAGCCGAGGGGATACCAGGATACCCAGTCCATCCTGCCGCCTCTCGCCAGGGGCAACTCCAGAGTCCAGCCCCTCTCCAGGAGACTGGGTTCAGAGCTCAAGCCGTGCATTGAGGTGAGCCCGACTATATCTAGCTGGTACCTCTCAACCTCATGCACTAACTCAGGTTCCTTCCCCACGAGACAGGTGACATTCCATGTCCCAATTGCCAGTCTTGGTAGCCGGGGATCGGTCCGCCAGGACCTCCACTCCTGGCTGTTGCCCTGCTCACAATGCAACCGACCCCTACGTTGCCTCCTTTTTAGGGCCGTGCCCGGCCGGGCCACATGGACTAAGGCCCAGCCACCAGACGCTCGCACTCGGGCACCCTCCAGGGCCAGGCCTGGCTCCAGGGCCTGGCCCCAACAATCAGATGACCCCTATGAGCAAGCACTTTGGTGACAGTGGGAAGGAAAAACTCCCTTTTAACAGGAAGAAACCTCCAGCAGAACCAGGCTCAGGGAGGGGCGGGGCATCTGCAGGGTTAATCTGTGTCTTGGTACCAGAAAGAAACTTACGCTCCCAGGGAGACGCTAGATTTGACCTTGGACCTCATGATAGCTTGTTGATAGAACATGTTCTAGAAAAAACACACACAGAATTGTTATTTGGATTATTTCCATTTCTAAAGTACCTTTGTACCTATGTACAGCTAAAGCTGTGTATTTATGCATGCATACTTTTAAATTTTCAGTAGCAACTCAAATTAAGACTTACCTTGCGTCTATAGATATCAAAAGTGGTTTTCTGAAAGAAAAGAATTATAAAATGAAAAGTTTTCATGGAAGCATTTTTTTGGTGCAGTAGTACTCGTTACGTGATAAGCTTAACAAGTATGATTAAATACAGAAAGACGTTTTGATGCTAGGGGTCTAGATCTACAGCTCAGGTCTGCTGAAGCAGAAATGGTTCCTCTGGGGTAAATGATTACTTAACTTTGCAAAGCTTTTTGAAAATTGCAGCCAAATATCAATATCAGTGCTTTTCCCCAAAGCTAGAATTGAATAAGTTTTCTAAGACAGAGACAGACAACCACAAACTCTAACATTCACACCTATTAACAATTCAGACTCATTATTTCATCAAACATGCTGTTGGCCAAATTGATGCCCAGCAAATTTGGAGGTTTGATACCAGAACCCGCATGGTGTGAGGTAACAGTGGAACCCTGTACCATCAAACCATCCTCAAGGTTCAGCAGATAGCCCATTTCCATCCATCCATTTTATTCCATGTATCTAATTCAGGTCCTCTGGAGTGCTGGAGCCCATCCCAGCTGCCATGGGATGAAAGGCAGAGTACAGCCTGGACAGGTCGCCAGTGTGCTGCAGGGCAGCCAATTTGGTTTTGCTCATTAGTACAATGACCACTTACCACACCACAACACTATAATGTCACACAGTGGGGATATAAAGTCTGGCTACTTAAGCAAAGTTATTTCTGGTTTGCATGTGTCTTTTCTTCATCACCATGGAGTTTGATCCATCGGTTTATTGGTCTCTTTTTTGTAGTTGTCTCGTTACCCTCCTGCTTCTGTGCCCATTACAAGGTTTCACTACTATGAAGCCTTGTTTGGACTTCTGTGAAGTACTCTTGTGTTCTTCATTTACTAAATTCTGGATCTGTGTTCATTTTCTCTCTGAGAACAAGACTGCACTTTGTGTTTGCTCGTGTCTTTGTTTAATATTCAGATTTGTTTGATGATCTGACTCATTGAAGTGTGACAAACATGCAAAAGAGACATAAAGATTATGTCTCCACAGGTGGAGAACTTTCTCGACAGTTACCAGCCTTTCTAGGAATGAGCGTGGCAGTAAATCCACCCCAGAAATGACCCTGTGAAAACTTTTTCACCCCACTGTGTAGACACACATAAACCTTTCTGCATTACTCTTTCATGTTCATGTGAGAAAAGAGATCTGTGTTAGAGGAAAACAGAAGAAAGGGAAATGCAATAAATAAGTTTTCTGAATATCTTCATCCTGTAAAATACAGTATTTCCTTGAATATTTAAAATAAATACAGATATAGAAGGTTGAGCATCCAATCAAAACTCCAACTGAAGCTCTACTGCCATCACAAAATTACCAATGTAAACATGTAAACAGAAACATGTAGCTTTTTGTAAATTTGGAAATATAATTAAAATCTGAAAACTGATGTGGAAATGGGTATTTACAGTATTTAGAGTATTTACAGTATCATGGTATTTAAATGG